TTTATAGGAAGGATAAAGATATCACAATGGTTTATCCATTCCCTTTGCTTTCTAGATGTGAAATACTAGCTGGAATGGTTGTGGAGTTTCCCCAAGCTAAACTAGTGAACAAAATATGAACTAATGTAGACATTATTACTTCTTACCTATTACTTTAAAATGGCGTGTATCAGACTAAGTACAGACTCCAAATTTAAAGGCATTAATGACTGGACATGTAAAGTAACTTTTGCTTTCTTGAATCACAAGTCCAAAAAAAATTAAGTAAAACAGTCCCCCCAAAAAAGCTTTAAGACACAAAAACATATAGGGAAAGGGAAAACAAGCATTAAGGTAAGTTCTGGTTAAACACAAAGTCTTCACCTTTTGTCTGAACCATTGAGATGCTTGTGCCAACCTTCTGCTTTATTTTGGCCTTAGAAACCTGACCTAAACTAAACAACTATTCCATATCATTAAGCTGTCCGGGAAGATGAAAGTTTAACTATATGCCAGACGAGCTGCAGCACCTACTGCGTTTCAGTAATGGTGGTCTTTCCCAAAAGCTTCTGTGCCAGAAGAACGCTAGGACAGCAGAGCTTTGCTTGGCCTGTGGGAAGAAAATGATGCTCTTCCCGTCAGAAGTTCTCTCTGCTCACCAGGGCTCATGCTTCCAGATGCGCTTCTATTGTAAGAAACATACAAAGGAAAATCCCTGCACGAAGCATCTCACTAGAGCTCTAATTCCACTCTGCTGGAGTCAAACAATATACCTCAGGCACAAAGTGATCAGCAGTTAACTTTTCACTGCGGTTGGTCAAAATTTATTTCTAGTCTTCTTAAATACATTGGTTTCCCCTCACACCAGAAAATACCATAGTCATATTGTTTCAGAATGTTATATAAAATTGATCTAGTATAGATTTTCTCTAACAGTTAGTTAACATGAAAACTAAGTTGGCTTTTCCTTTCAAAAAGCATCCAAGGTCAGATATAAGATCTCTTAAACAGATGTTTACAAGTGATCCTGATAGCTCCCTGGTAGCTTGCACTACAAAACACAGTGAGAAAAATTTACAACTCTCTTTAAAATAGAAGGGACAACAAAAGGGACTCAAGTTGGATGTGATTTTTTTAATTACCAGCTGAGAAAAAAAACCCTTGTAACAATATGACAAAATTTTAAAATCTTTATTATGTAAACAAATCAATACATAAAATATGAATTCAACAGATAAACCAAAGGCTTTAAAATGGCACTTTATTAAAGAAAATACATAGTGGGTAGACATGCACATAGATAGTTTGCTGTCAGACAAAAAGTAAAATTATAACAGTGGGATAGCATTTTGTTTATCAGTATCTTATTTTAAAGCAAGAATATTTAATGACTACAGTGGTGTGACGGCAGGGTAAAGTCATATAATATTTTTAAAAATAATGTATGAAATAGTCAGAGTCTACCTCAGTAATTCTCATCTTCAGTTTGCAAAGGTAATTATTTCAATGTTTAAAGTCATAGATTCAAGAGATTAATGGAAGTACTATTTGCAATACTGAAAAATGATTAACTAAACCTGAGAATATATTGTTTTATCACAGCTGTGTGGGATATTCTACTTCTTAAATGATGTTTAGGCTGATTCATAGAAATATGGGATAGTATTGCTATATACTGTTGAGTTAAAAGAAGAATATACCAAATTATAAATATGTATATATATACACACATGTATATAATAAGTCTATATAGAAACTCTGTGTACATAGGTGGTAAAGCAACAAAGACTCTTGAATCTGTTCAGTATTTTCCAAATTTTATTAACAAGCACCTTATTGTATTTGATATATTTTAAAATGTATTTTACATTATTTTCAAATACATTTATTTTTTTACAATTCTATCAGAAGCAAAATAATGCATTTAGAATGTTATAAAAACCATGAACAGTTCAAGTTAATGTATCTGTGACTTTTTGAATTCTAAGTGCACTGAATCTTGCACGTATGTGACTAAGCAGTTGAAACCTGTGGGTAGCAACCTCAGTTCACTGGCATTCCTCCGGTTTCCAGCCCCTTATTCATCCAGCCTCCAGCCTATTCCCCAAACCACAGCTGCTTCTAGCACCTGTGCATTCTCTAGATTTATAAACTGCTGGAAGCAAAAGACATGTTAATGATTGTTCCTAGTCTTTGCCCCCCCCCCACCCCGCCAACCTGAACATCACGAAGGAAGGTGCCATCTATTTTAATATATTTCTTCTGTTGCTAACAAAGAGAATTCTTAAAAGGAGATGGAGTCTATTTTTTAATGACATATTCCTGCTTAGTTTGCTGTTGGATTTATAAATGTTAGCGTTTGTAGTATCTCCTGAAGGACAAGGATGAACTGACGTTATATTCTTTGAAAGAAAACTATTTGGTCCCACCATCCCTCTTTTCACTTGCAGTCACTTCTTGGCACTTTAATAACATCTCAACTTGTCTCCATCCTTGAGCTTCTGCAATGAGATAAAGACTCTGCTGAGAGAGGAAAAGAAAGGAGAGGAGAGGAGGGAAGGGGAGGGATGGGGAGGGGAGAAGAGAAGAGAGCAGAAGAGCAAAGAGACAGTTTTCAGGTGGTTGCACTTACACCTTACACTCCGGCACTTTCTCCAACAAAAAGGGAGGCAGTAGGTTCTTATTTTTGTGATGTCAATTTGTAAACTGAAATAAAGCAAAGACTTTCTTGAAGTGAAGGATGTAAAATACATTCGAGGACATTTATTCAGCACACTCCTTTGTTCTAGATAGCAGCTTTTCTTTTCGTAAAGTTTTCCAGTCTCCTTCAAGGAAAAAGAAAGTTAGGATTTGTAAATTCCTTAAAAGGCACCCTTCAAAGCCCTGCCCTCCAGAAAAAAAAAATCATGACAGCTCAACACTGTTTTTCGGTAAGAATCAAGTCCGGCTTTTTCCAACATGGCTGTATACTTCGCAGGCCCCCAAATTTGTACTTTCACAGTCGTCATCAATCAAATAGGAACACCATCTCCAGCGAACCTGTGTTTCATGGACTAGAAATACACTCTCTGTACAGATCGCGTTCATTTTGACGGCATAACTGCTATTCCTGAGTCTTTTTTTTTTCTTTTTTAAATTTATTTATTTATTAAGGATTTCTGCCTCGTCCCCACAACCGCTTCCCATTTCCCTCCCCCTCCCCCCGATCAAGTCCCCCTCCCTCATCTGCTCGAAGAGCAATCAGGGTTCCCTGACCTGTGGGAAGCCCAAGGACTGCCCACCTCTATCCAGGTCTCGTAAGGTGAGCATTCAAACTGCCTAGGCTCCCACAAAGCCAGTACGTGCAGTAGGATCAAAAACCCACTGCAATTGTTCTTGAATTCTCAGTATTCCTCATTGTCCGCTATGTTCAGCTAGTCCGGATTTATCCCATGCTTTTTCAGACCTAGGCCAGCTGGCCTTGGTGAGATCCCAATAGAACATCCCCATTGTCTTAGTGTGTGGGTGCCCCCCTTGTGGTCCTGAGTTCCTTGCTCGTGCTCCGTCTCCTTCTGCTCCTGATTTGGACCTTGAGATTTCTGTCCGGTGCTCCCGTGTGGGTCTCTGTCTCTGTCTCCTTTCATCGCCTGATGAAGGTTAATATTCCTGAGGATGCCTATGTGTTTGTCTTTGGATTCGCCTTATTTAGCTTCTCTAGGAACATGAATTATAAGCTCAATGTCCTTTATTTATGGCTAGAAACCAAATATGAGTGAGTACATCCCATGTTCCTCTTTTTGGGTCTGGCTTACCTCACTCAGGATAGTGTTTTCTATTTCCATCCATTTGTATGCAAAATTCAAGAAGTCCTTGTTTTTTACTGCTGAGTAATACTCTAATATGTATATATTCCATACTTTCTTCATCCATTCTTCCGTTGAAGGGCATCTAGGTTGTATTGTTTGTAATAGCCAGAACCTGGAAACAACCTAGATGCTATTCCTGAGTCTTAAGAGTCGCTGGCGTTTTGTCAGGGCTGGAACGGGCGAGGAAGTCTGTGTAGCTTGGTGTGCAGCAGGTCTGAGGACCCAGGTCTTTAGCATGTTTTCAGAGATTATTGTCATTTTCGCTAAGAAGCACAGCTCATGGTGAGAGGCTGGAGGGACTAGAGCCGACTGCAATCGGAACGGAAAATATATGTGAGCTATAGGGAGGAAAGAGAGAGGTCTCCCGGCAGAGGGTCACCATTGCTCTGGGATTTGCAGGAATTTATCACCACCATTAACAGCTATTTTCCGAGGGTTGTTTACCGCCCGAGCCTGAGACAACCAGATAGAGAAGCCCACTCCGGGACCCCAGCCACGCCCCCTCATCCCTTACCACCCCCCTCCCCAGTTGCATTAATGAATTCAGGGCCACCCCCTTGCTGGACCCTCCCATTGGCTCGTATCCTAACCAATCAGAGCCTTATACAGGTTTCACCTGGTCCCCGCTTCCTAAATAAACAAACAAATCAACCCTCACTGTGCCAGCTCAGTCTCCCCTCACCATCTCTAGCCCCCTCAGGCTTATCGAGTGTGAGCTGTGGCGCCCCATCCTCGCCTGTCCTCCACCCCATACATCCACCCCCTGCCCCATCCTTTTGGGACTCCTATCTAGGCTTGGTGTGGCTAGAGAGCCCCGCCTCCTCCCGTCATTTCTGCCTTGTACCAAAGGCTCTGGAGGTTCATCTAAAGTGTCTCTGCCAATTTGAAAATGGCTCTGCATCCCTTGCCCCTGGTTCCTGTCCCTTGCACACCTCTACTGGTGGCCGCTTGCGCCCCTCCATCTTTTGGGGAGCTGGATCTGGAGCGGGCTGCCGCGTGAGACTACGGTCACGTGTTGTTTTGCCACTGTGAGCCCAGTGGAGTGGGCGGGGACGCGGGCCTAGGCGGGAGGGGTCTGGGGCGGGCAGACAGCGGGGGACGGCCTCTTCTCCCCCCCCAGCCCTCCCTTTCCCTAGCCCCCCCTCCCCTCTCACCTTAAATACACCGCAAGTCACCATGGCTAGTTGCTCCTTCGCTGGCAACTGAGCGCTAAGGAGACTGAGAGCTGCTGCAGCAGCAACCTCCGCAGCTCTAGCAGCAGTGGCGACCACCCCGCTTCCTTCCTCGGAAACCCCGACCGCACTCATTGGGACCGGGTCGTCCTGTCCGGGAGCCATTGTGGCTCCCCACGGCCACTGGCTCCCGGTCAGACTCCGAGTCCGAAGAAGAGGACCTCCCCGTCGGGGATGAAGTCTGCAAACGCGGCTACCTGAGGAAGCAGAAGCATGGGCACAGACGTTACTTCGTCCTCAAACTCGAGACCGAAGACGCCCCGGCTCGGCTCGAATACTACGAAAATGCCAGGAAGTTCCGGCACAGTGTCCGCGCCGCGGCCGCTGCGGCAGCGGCTGCTGCCTCCGGTGCGCCGATCCCCGCGCTCATCCCGCCCAGGCGAGTGTTCATCCTGCACCAGTGCTTCTCCGTGAGCCAACGAGCTGATGCCAGGTACCGATACCTCATTGCCCTTTTCACCCAGGACGAGTACTTCGCGTTGGTGGCCGAGAACCAGTCGGAACAAGAAAGCTGGTACTCGCTCCTCAGCCGCCTCATCCTCGAGAGCAAGCGCCGCCGCTGCGGCTTGCCAGGCGCGCAGCCGGACGGAGAGCCGGATGCCCTGGAAGCAGCAGCGGCGACGGGGCCATGCTTCTATAAAGATGTGTGGCAGGTAGTAATAAAACCCAGGGGGCTGGGGCACAGAAAAGAGCTGAGCGGCGTGTTCCGGCTGTGTCTTACCGACGAGGAGGTCCTGTTTGTAAGGCTCAATACCGAAGTGGCCAGTTTGGTCGTCCAGCTCATGAGCATTCGTCGCTGTGGTCACTCAGACCAGTACTTCTTCTTGGAAGTTGGCAGGTCCACTACCATCGGTCCAGGGGAGCTATGGATGCAGGTGGATGACTGTGTGGTGGCCCAAAATATGCATGAGTTGTTTTTGAAGAAGATGAGAGCCTTGTGCGCAGACGAATACAGAGCCCGATGCCGCAGCTACAGCATCAGTATCGGCGGCCACCTGTTAACCCTGCTGTCCACTAGGAGGCACCTGGGCCCGCACCAGCTGGAACCCTGCGGCTGGTTCCGAAGATACCGCTTGGAGCACTTAAGCCACCTCAGGGCAATCAGTGACAGGGAAGAGATGCTCTTTAACAGGCGCTTCAAACCCTCTGAGCCTCTACCTCCCTCCAGGCTAGGAAGGGGGCACCTGCCCAGAGCCGGCAGGTCCAGGAGAGCGGTTTCAGTACCACCCAGTTTTTCCCACCGCTTAGCACCTAGCCCCCCGGTACGTGTCTCACACCACGAAGAAGTCTCCAACTCTAGCAACTCTGCAGAAAAAGACAAGGACGCTGAGGAAGGTAACGAAGGTGATTATATGCCCATGAACAACTGGGGCTCAGGAAATGGCCGGGGATCAGGAGGTGGCCAGGGCTCAAGCGGTCAAGGCTCCAGTAGTCAGAGCTCAGGAGGAAACCAGTACTCAGGTGGCAGGCAGGGATCTGGAGGTGGCCAGGGTTCAGGAGGTCAGGGTGCTGCTGGAGGAAACCAGTATTCAGGAAATGGCCAGGGCACAGCAGGTGGCCATGGCTCAGGTGGAGGCCAGAGGCGTGGAGGTGGCCATGGCTCAAGTGGTGGCCAGGGACCTGGCGATGGACGTGACTCAAGTGGTGGCAAGAACCCAGGAGGGGCCAAGGGCTCAGGAAGTGGGAAAAACTCCGATGATGGTGACCATGGAAAATCTCTGAAGAAAAAATCGTACTTTGGTAAATTCACTCAAAGCAAGCAACAGCAAATGCTGCCACCGCCACCACCGCCGCCTCCACCCCCATCAACTGGAGCAACTGGTGGGAAAGGGAAGTCTGGGGGAAGATTCCGACTTTATTTTTGTGCAGACAAGGGAGCCACAAAAGAACGCAAAGAAGTCAAAGAGGTGAGAGATATGGAGACCCTAGAAGGTGCAACCCGGGCGCCTTACAGAGCCAGAGCTTTTGATGAAGACGAGGATGACCCATATGTGCCAATGAGGCCAGGGGTGGCTGCTCCCCTTGCGTGTTCCAGTGACTATATGCTAATGGCTCCTCAGCATTCCTCCGCTTCAAAGAAGGGCCACTCTAAGTCACCATTTGAAGCCTCCAGAGGGTACATGATGATGTTTCCCAGAGTGAGCCCACCGCCACCTGCCCCAAGTCCTCCAAAAGCACCGGATACTAATAAAGAGGATGACTCTAAGGACAATGACAGTGACAGTGACTACATGTTTATGGCTCCTGGAGCGGGTGCGATTCCTAAAAATCCCCCCAATCCTCAGGGAGGTTCTTCCTCCAAAAGTTGGAGCTCTTACTTCTCTCTGCCAAGTTCTTTTCACAGTTCTCCCTTGGGACAGAGCGACCATAGTGAGTACGTTCCAATGTTGCCTGGGAAATTCCTGGGGAGGGGTCTAGACAAAGAAACCTCTTTCCCCCCCGCGCACCAAAGATGTGGCTTCGGAGACTGAGTGGTCATTCTCCAAACCTGGAGATAGGGGGTCACCTGCAAAGCCTTCAGATGATGAGTGCCCAGTGAACAAGGCTGAGGGACTTAACCGACTTTCTTTTATTGCAGAAGGAAATAATATCAAGGCCAAACCAGTAAATCCCACACAGGAGCAGAGAGGAGCTGATAGCTCTCATGACTATGTCAACATTGACTTCATTAAGAGAGAGCTCCGTGAGCCTGCTCTCTCTGCTCAAGGACTGCCAGATTCGTGGGGCTTAATTATTGACCCCAGACGCACAGGTATTTCTAGTTACCTGAATGTTGAAGTCGGGGTGCCCTTTCCAAATTCAGCAATCCGTCTCTCAGATCTTTTACGAGTTCTACCAGGTGCCAGCTCCATCTCTCTGGCCCGTACTAGGTGGCCCTTTTATCCTTTTCCAGGCAATGCTACAGGTAGCATTGTGGAAGAGGGTGAATACATTGAATTATTTTTCAACCCAGTCATGAGACCAATCGTGCCTTTTGCTGACTGTGCCATTCGCTATGATGCTCTAACCGGTGAAATGTATGTAGTCGACCCATTTTCTGAGTGCTGTATGGACGTTTCTCTCTTTCCTGGTCGATATTCTCATCCGCCACCTGTAGCTAGGCTGCTGCTGCAGGAGGAAGTGCAGGAGAGAAGACGCCCACAAAGCCGTTCCCAAAGTTTATTCGCCAACATCCGAGCCGCGGTCTCTGCTTTCCCTACTGACATCTTCGACAGAGATTTTCCCGCCGTTTCGGCCAGGGATGCTGATGTAACTGAGGAGCCCCTCTTGGCAGTGAGCCAGGCGTTAGCGGTGGTCTCTGCACTCGCAGCGGCCCCTGGCTTTGGCGTTCTCTTTGGCGGCTTCCAGAGCACTGCCAGATTTGACTCCGCCTCCTCTCGCTGGTTCCAACCTGTTGCTAATGCTCTGGGTGCCCAGGTTGTAAGAGAGGTCCGGGACATTACAGCAGGCTGAAATCATGGAGCAGGTAACCAAGCTGCCGGAGGTGAGGACCTGGCGGCCGGTGCAGCCGCTCCCCCATCTCCACCTCGCCAGCGAAGGGTGCTGAGACCCCCAGAGAGCGAGGATTCCGAGGACAGCGACGACGATGACGACGACATTTACGTGAGAATGGACTTTGCCAGACGTGACTACAAGAAGTGATCACTCTCCGAAAAGAGGTTGGTGACTTTATATTTTAAATTTCTGAAGTTAACGGAAATTGCCTAATGAGTGAGTTGATGCGCTACTTGCTATGGTGTTAGCGATAAGTGAGATGATAGTTCATGTACTATTGTTATTAGAGAGAGTAGAATTCAGTTTTCACTTTTCACATGGGACCTTTCTGGCCTTTGCGATAACATGAGCTTTGATCTAAGCCATAAATTTAACTGACAGAGCCGATTGTTAAACACTGGATTTATTTCTCAGGTGCAGTTAAAACTTAAAGCCTCACCGCATGAGGTTGCTTTCCTCTTCTCTAAGTCCTTCAGAAACTGAGCTCCATCAACTAATTTTCAAGTCTACAGCTAAAGCTGCTTTACCACAAGTGCCCAGTTTAAGCGCAGGGGTTCAATGAAAGTATGGAAAGTTTAGCAGTACCCAGCCAACTGGTAACATACCAGTCATCGTTTGCCCAGTTTGCTGGGACTTGTCCAAAAGGTTAACTCTCAGGTGTCAGCTGAATGGTGAGAGGGTACATAGACAATCTCAAACCCCAGGCAATTAAAAGGCAGCATTTGCTCTGGAAAGTTTTTGTGTTGATTTGTTTTTGTTGTTGCGCTTGCTGAATTGTGAGAAACTGTGAGTGTTCCTTTTCTCTGTCACTGGTAGGGAAAGGCCAGTCACTTTTGTTGGGCTTCATTTTCTTCTTTCGCCCCTTCCCCTTTCTAGAGAAGTTGTAGTTGCATCTTGATTATGGATATGAATATTGTTTCAAACGTTTAAAAAAGCATTTAATTGATGTATCTTCTGGGAAAGCAAGGTAACAAGACTGGAGGAAGAAGACAGGACTCCAGGGGCAGCCCACCCTGAAGGGAGGGGGGTCAAGGGGCCTAATTTTGTGAATGAAGGGAAGAATTGTAAGAGTGAACCTTCTCCAAGAGTTCACAATATTGTCTTGAGACGTTCTCGAGAAACGTCTGCAGACGATGACCCTGTAGCCTGCCCTGCCTTCTCTCTTTAGAAGACTATGCTTCCTTCCCAGTGAAGGGATGGTTCCCAGCAGCTCTCATTCCACTGGTCAGTTTCCTGCTTTCCTTGTGCTCTGGAATGCTTTTGTGATTGGATCTTTGCCCACTGTGCTTGATCAGGCAGAACAAGTTGGGGGCTGATCACAACAGCCACCTTACAAGCTCCCCATTTAGTGCAGGTGTAGCCCCCTGCCTCTTCTTTCTCTCCTTGCTATAGAAAACTTGCCATACAAAAACTCACACTTGCAGCACAGACACACCAAAAGAGTGATTATTAAAGCAACTAAGGGATGCTTTGGCTTGCCAAAGGACTCAATTCAAAAGTTCTTTAAATTGTAAGGCTCCTCGCTCCCCCAACACACACAGACACACACACACACACACACACACACACACACACACAGAGAGAGAGAGAGAGAGCGCTACTATCATAACTACATATTTAAAAGTCATAATTCCATGTCCAAGAACTTAAAATCAAACAATCAGCCTTTCAGGGACAAGTAAACAGAAAGTGCACCCCCAAATCACCCTCAAGCTTTTGCTGGAGCCTAAACACTGAAGGTACAAGGTACAACTTCGATGTAAAACTCCACATCAAAAGAGATGATGTGTCAGAGTAGCTGCTTGGGACCCTGTGATTCTCTGAAATGATGCCTACACTTTCTAATACTCTAATCTTTGTTCACACATAAATTAAAAATAGTGAAATCATACTGTTCTTCAAATAAACTCTGATTGCTGAGGATTATTGGGATCCAGGGCCATTATATTTTTTAATTACTGACTAATGGCTTTGTAGCTATTTTTGGAGGTTTAATATGCTTCAATTGTATTCTTTATTGAGGAAATTCCTGACTTTATTGAGGGGCTACACCACTGAAGTTGTATCTCATAGATAGGCAAGAGCTTACATTGAAAGAAACAAATGAGCATGAAAGCATTTGGGAGCAAGAAATCACTTTGCAAATATAATGGATTTTTACTTTGTCATTGGTTTAACACTGAAGTGAAATTTCAAGCATTTAAACTAATGATTTAGTTTTTCTGACAACTAGCTAATTTCTTGATGCTAAAGGGAGATTTGAGATGTAATTTTCTGCAATATATCACATGGAAGGGCTTTCGAGGATGTGTGGTACTGAAGCAACCTATTGCAGAAAATGACTTTCATTAGCATTTTAATGTGAATTGATAAAGTGTTGTCTGTGAAATGTTCAAAACAGGCCAGATGACTCTGATTATGTTTCTCTGTAACGCTATAGGAGAACTTTCACCTATTTCTGTTTTATCTTTATTTTCTTATCTAGCATTTAAAAATGAAAACATCATGTCAAGAAACAAATAGTATTGTGAACAAGGAAAAAAGACATATCATTAGGAGTCACATAGCTCAATAAGTTAATCTCAGTTTAGGGAATGTGCTTAGAGCTGGAATAGAGAAGAGCTATGTGTGCGTTATTATGTAGTTACAATCACTATTTTGGTTGTGACTGTTAACTACCAACTTAGAAACACAAAGCTAAGTTAAAATTCTGTGTTTCTTTTTCATTAGTCTTTACTTTCATTACAAGTGTCACGCATGATTATTCACAGGTGGTATCTCCGTATTGAAATGTGTTTATTATGTGAGATTATAATTTATTAAGACCATTTTATCACTCAATGCAAAAATAATGAATGTACAACTGTACGTATCTACAGTCAAGCCTCATGTAAGTATTTTACAGTTGCTCATTCAAACCATTTAGAAAGAAACACCCAGAATATAACTTGAGTATGTATTTTTTAATGAACAAAATGATTTTAAAGCAATCCCTTGATGATGAATGCTTCAGGTTTTGAACACATTAGCATTTAGAAGAGTGTCATTTCCCATGTGATTTAGTCCTATCCCTAAACCCTTGTGTGCCTTTTTGCTTCTTTTAATGCTTTACCTGATATAAAATTGATAGGTTGAAATGATTTGGGATGTAGATTTCTCTGGTATTTTTATTCAAGACATAGCATAGGAGAATGAAATGGGCATCTGTAGATGGCAGGAAATAATTGCTCAACCAAATTAGTTATGGTATGGTAGTACTTGGTGTTAAAAGGCCAAAAACTAGTAATTAACTTTTGACAATTAGGTCCTGTTATCACCACATAGGAAGTCAAAGCTGTTTTTCATTGTCCTGCTGCCAAGTCCTGTTGCTATAAATTGTGGGTACTGAAAGCAAATCATTTTTTACTGTATTAAATTTATTGTAAATAACTAGAATATAATTTCCAAATACCAGAGATTTTCCATTTATAATTAATGGATCACTTATTTTATATAGCATTCATCATCCCCCCAAATCTGGATATTTCTTTGGAGTAAAGAGGTATTTGACCTAAACAGTTAAGAAGACTTCACTCAGTTAAAGTTAGCTAAAGTTGTTGGCAACCATTATTCACATGCATTCATTCTATTTTAAGACTGATGCTTCCAGGATAAAAATGTCAGCTACAAGAAAAAACATCTCTTTGAAACCAGGGCCAGGACTTTAATTAAGCACACCAGACTGTTATACATTCATAAATACTCAACCAGGGTCTCCAGCTTTCTTTCCCTGTCTCTAATCACCAAACTTGAACCAAAATACTTCAAATCATTGGCAGGCGTTTATCTTGGGGAACAAACTAAGGTTTCTAAAAACAAATACACTTCATGTTGGAACAGATGCAGCTGTCCATTGCAGAAAGAAGTAAGCATTACTGTGTGTGATTTCAAATGAACTGTTGTTAAATTGATAACTTCTTGATTGAGGGGAATGTTTTCCAGTTACAGATTGATTTCCTTATATTTTTCAAAGCACATTCACATTCATTATTTCAGTGATGGTAAGTACTGGAAGTGAAGCTGGAGTTAAGAATTTTCCTGTGTTCACGAAGGTAAGTGGCAGAGCTGAAAATGTAACTCATACGTCTGTTTTCCAACCTAATGCTCCATGGGTCTAAGAAAAACAGAATTATAAATGTAAATCTGTGGCTCCAGTTCCCACCATGCATTTTTAAAGCAAGTTATAATATTTTGGGATTATTCAGGTTTGGGAAGCATTATTCCTGTCTACTTACATAGTTAAATAGGAACTGACAAACACATTTTGTAAATTTGAAATTACAATGACTATTTTCTGGGCTTTAGTAGGTTATTCACGCTTCCCCCAATGGTGACGTAAGTGCCATAGGAAAGCATCGACTCTTTATTAGAGCTGCTATTGTTTTTGGAAAGGAAAGAATAAAGGAAAATTACTTCAATGTCAACAAATGGTCCTAATTCCAAGACCTGTCACTTAGGTAGCTTAGGAACTTAATTTACATATTTCTGCAAAAATGTATGAATTGAAGTGCATAACCTATGATACTCAGAAATTCCCATTTGAAGTAATTGCAATATACTATATATATGAACTATGAAGATGTTGCATATTAAAAATAATAAGCTAAATTACTAAGATATCTTTGTAACATCACATTTCTGTTAAAAACATGTACGTGATATTTGAACAAATTCCATGATCCTACCTAGCCCAGTTTTGTCACAAGTAGATGAGCTGCTAATAATATGCATACCCGCAGTCAATCTGTGATGAGCACACATACCTTTTATCCTAAAGCTAAAATTCCCCAATGTAGCACTCATGGGAAGACTTAATACTTCCTAATTTAGGGTACTTCTTTCTAACCTTTTTAATATGAAGGAAAGAACAATGAGCATGACTAATAACCACAATAAGTAGGGAAAGGATGGAGACTTTGCTGCTCAGTCTTGTTGCATTCATTAAAATATCCATCAAAAGAAATAGATACTTACAGTTTAATTAAAGATCTTTTACTTGAAGGCTACTCTAGAGGAAGCTTTCTAAGGATTCTTTTAGCTCATTTCAGGTGACATGAAATACTGGGTACTTTGATGTAACCAGAGTTTAAAGTAACCTTGACACTCCATAATCCACTTGCCCCCATTTTCTTTCTCTTTTTCATTCCAGTAACTTCCCCCATATACTTAATTCCCGCTGCTCTGTACACTGTGCTCCGGTTATGTGCCCTCGCATTCAACTGATAGTTAAGAGAGTCATATCTTTTTGGTAGAGAAATAGAAATGTCAATCAAATCTTTGCAGTTATAGATAGTTCTTTCAGAAGCAACTCCATGATTAGGTCAGAAGACCCTTATCACAATTGTTCTTAAATCCGTTGACTTGTGTCATCTAAGGCAAAGGTAGACTTATGCATGTAGGAGAAGCGTGAACATTTTCTCCCTAAGGCTCCATTCAGGCAGCTAAACTGGGCTGGGAACAGGAGTAACTATCCTAGTGTTTTTGTCTAGCTTGTGTTTTCTCTGTTCAGGAATCCCAGGGTGTTGATTAACCATGTCTGTGCCAAGGAAGTATCTTCAAATGCGTCTCTTGGGAACCCCATTAGGTTTTGTTTCCTTTTGTTCAAAAACATGGAAGGATAACAGTTCTTTACTCTGATTTTGAACATAATTTTTGTCATCATTTTTTTTTGTAGAGTGATTACCTTGCCACCAAAACCAAACACCTTTTAGAAGAAAAACGACACAGAATTCATCTTCATCTACTCCAGATCTGCCTAAAGGAAAGAAAATGCTTCTGTATAGAAACCAGCCTCTGTTCCTACCAGTCAACTGGACCGTGGCAGCTGAATGAGCCTGTTCATGGAGTTCATTCTCACTACTGCCTCCTGGATCCATTGATTGACTTAAAGATGTTCACACTGTACATAGGCTTTATGTCCTAGCTTCCCTGACCTGTCCCTTTGAAAGGAATAAGATGCTGTAAGTTAGTATCTCATAACACTTCCCTTTTCCTCTCTAAAAATGTGTTCAGTTTATGTAAATACAGCCAGTACCAACTTTAATGACATATAATACTTGGATGAATTTCAACGTGAACATCTTTAAACAATGGCAGATAAATAAATATGTATATATATATTAATGAGAAGGTAGGTATGATCTGGAATCTTTTTCTGATCAATGCACACTTAAAACATTTCTTGATCAAGGAATTAATCTGAACTGAACTTCTTCTAACTTGACGAGGCATTTTCAGTATTTTAAAGACATGACTAAAGGGCAAATTATCTCAGATTTTGCCCATTAACAATACTGCGACATTCTATTGACACTAACTATCAACTAAAGTGATGTCTTGACAGAATATCTTAAGGGCAGAGCCAAAGAGCAGGTTGTCTACTTGTTCATGTACAACCTAGCCATGGTCTGCTAGTGGATTGGACATTTCCAAACCTATTATTTTGAAACCTACATTTATCCCTGAAAAGAGGCAAGCCTCCATCTCAAAAGACCATTTCTGCCTCTCTGGAGGCTCCTCCTTCCTACTCTTCAAACTATCTCCCCCTCTTTCTGGTCTTTCCCCCAGTAGCCATTGATCCTCCCATGCCCAGGACACCTATAAAGAAATTTGTTTCCCATATCAGAAATATCAATTGATCATCTGCCTAAAATTTAAGCCAAACGGAACCTCTTATAAGGCTTTTTTTTCCTCCCAGAAAATATAAGCCAGTATAAGATGTACAAAATTTAAAAGAAAAAAATTCAGAGCAAGCTCGCCCCACCCCCATTTTTGCTTGCCTCTGATGGAAACTGAATTAAGATTTTAGGAACCTGGACCTTTGTGGACCTGACAACATCAGGTGGTGACAACACAGGATAGAAACAAAGGTCCTGAAGCTTGCTTAGAGCTTTGTTATGTGGTGGCGTACAGTTCTTGGCTGTAGTACCATCACTGGCAAACCTCAATCATCTCACAGATGGGTGTGAGTGTTTGAGCAAGTGTCTGCAAAAGTGTGTGAGTGCTAGTGTGTGTATGCACACATTTGTGTGTATGTGCACCTTTGTGTACCTGTGAACATGTGATTCTAGACGTGCCTGTTGTGTGTAACTCTGTTTAAAAAAAAATTGCTTCGCATTTAACGTGCAACTTTGAAGTAGTGTAATATTTACGTGAAGTTCTTTGCCACTCGGTTCCTATATCTTTGAACGTGTGCTTCTATCTTTGAGCAGGCTTCTAGTACATGTTGCTGAACTAACTTTCTGAAGAACCGAGTTGATTTCTATTGTTTCTTCCTGCCTACCAAGCAAAGGGATGGGGAGTGCTCCTTTTTCCCTGTGTAAATTGTGCTGAGAGGATGTAGCTTCAATGCCAGTCACTTACCCAGTTTCTGGTCATTGCTGGGGCATCACTTCCATCCGTCCCTTCAGGCTCCTCTCTTGGTCCTACCTAGTCAGTAATGCAGTGTGGCTTTTGTTCATCGTAACAGTGTACTCTTTAGGCAGCCTTCCTTCAGGGCTTCTGTTACCATTTTAATTCAAGTATTCAAGTAAGTTGTCATAATCGTTCAGAAGTGTAGCAAGAAAAGATTATTTGAGGGAAACTGCTGTATTACTTTGTTCACATATTTGGTTTAGGGGCTGCCAATAGACAGGGTACAGAACGTAGAGCACAGAGCTAGCACAGTTGCTGAATAAATGAATGGAAACCTCAGACACAACAGTACATACGATTAGTCACAGGTACATATAGTCACAGGTACAGCATAACAAATATGCAGTCTTTGGGATACAACTTCTTAGTTTACAGATTTAATTAATTTATTCAGTATTGTGCTGGAAGAATATGGAATATGTGTACCAACATACCACTTACCTTCCAGTGATGTTTATGCTGCTGAGAAAAAGAAATGATGGAACGATTTGTGTGTGTGTGACTACCTACATTAGTTTGGTGTCATACATAGTTACTTGGTCAGTAAAAACTAAATCTTACAGTTCCAACAGTTCATTGCATTTGCTATTTCTGTTTCACAGACCTGCTTTGAGTTGCTCTGTGTTTGTCTTCCTTTGTAAATACTCTTAAGCTTTCTTGTTCGTAGGCATCTCGTTTGCAGTTTGGGGAGACAACCTTGCAACTCTATATAGTGTTTATATATATATATATCTGACTTGCTTTTCCGTAGAGCTACTTGCAATAAATGTGTTGGTGTAACTTATTGGTGTGAAGTTTCATTTTTCATTGTACAATCCTCTCAACTTCATTATCAATATATTTCCCTGCTCTTGCAGAACTGATTGCCAGCCATTTCCCATAATGAAGGAGTTGGGGTGAATAAACCATGTCTGTTACTGTCCCCACAAACATGAAGCTTTTTGACATAGTTAATAGAATCAACTCACTTTTGAGTTGACAAATGTAGAGGTGATGCTAGTACAAAATAATCTACGAAATGAGTGCCCTGAGTTTACACTTGGACCATGACCCAAGGAGAATGAGGTGATTGTTTGTAATTAGGCTTTATCTCCTTGCCACTTAACATTTTCCTTTGACAGAATCCCTTTTCATTGCCTTCTCTTTAGCCATGGGGGAAAATACACCAATAGACAGAAAGCATTTTCACACTGATGGACTATAGAAGGAAGGGTAGATTGAATATTATGAATTCATTTATAAATTACATTAGTCTTTTTGGAATCCACAGGCCTTAAAAAGTGCTAAAAATATGATTACCCTATTACCTATTTGGTCTTTCCCAAGTTACCCTTACCACATAGAAAAATGAGAACAATTCTGGAATCCAGTAGGTGCACACAGGTCAGATAGGTCACAGTACAAAAATACAGGTCTCAGATTAGATATAAACGAGCTGTCTCTGTGCAAACCACTGTTGATTGTACAACTTGTGTTTTCTGGGTACATCTCAGAAGATGTACATAAAAGATTATTACAATGGTAAGATATAATTAAAGTTTCTTTATCATTAAAGACACCACAACACAGCAGAGGTGGGGGAGTGATGCCCTTCACCCCAACATAAGTTTGGGACGGTGGGTTCTGCAAAATAGAGCCAACCCCATTGGTAGGGGTGTGGGTGAACCAGCTTCGAAGTTGAGCATGGGAGAGCTATCCCTATTATCCATCTGTCATGGAGGGATGAGTAGGGGAGAGATGCCCTCTCCCCACTGCCCATCAATGCCTGGGGCAGATGAGAAAACTCCCCTGCCCCTCATCAGGTGCAGGACTTGGAGAGTGGCCCCTGTGCCATATCTGGGCAACACAGTGGGACTGACCCTGAAGGTGTAGGTGTGGAAGATCCAACCCTGAGGGCATGAAAACAGGAGAACTGGCCCCATCTCTTGTTGGAAAGGGTGAACAAGCCATGGTAATACCTGGAGAACTCACCCTGGTGCTAAGAGAGCTGGCTCGATGAACAACTCTGCAACTACCCAGGCTCAGAACTAGGGTTATGTGTTACTCCACCCCAACATCCATCCCATCAGTGATCTGCTGGAGTATATAAAAGAATGTTCTTGCAGATGCAAAGCTGCAGGGTCTCCATGATACAGGACAATAGTAGGATATCCAAGAGGAGTCCCAGTGAGGGCCCAACATAGATAGTGTAGCAGACACCAGAGGCCTTGAACCAGACCAATGACCCTTTGCAATGGACACTTGCATATAAAGATATATGGATAATAAAGGGTTTTACTTCTTAATTCACTGTGTCACCCTACAGCTTCCATGATGAGAATTTTTTTTCTTTTTTTGTAGTATCGAGGGGGCTGTGTCCTACCGCCCAGCTAGCTTAGCCCCAAAATAACCATGCAGAAATTGTATCAATTAAATTACTGCCTGGCCCATTGTATCTAGCCTTTTCTTGGCCACCTCTCACATCTTGATTTAACCCATTTTCATTAATGTGTATTACCACTTGACTGTGGCTTACCAGCATGAGTCTAACCAGCGTCCATCTCAGGCAGGAGAACCATGGTGTCTCAACTCTGTCCTTCTTTTCAGCATTTAGTTCAGTCTACTCTGCCTAACTAAGCTGCTGCCCTATCAAAGGGAAGGGAGTTTCTTTATTCAACCAATGAAAGCAACACAAATATAGAAGAACCTCCTACATCATTTTTTCATTTAAATTTCATTTTTCAGGGAGAGATTACAAGGACAGAGGGTGGACATAAAGGGACAGTGGAATGAAAGAGAAATGCATGATATGAAAGTCACAAACAATAAATAAAAAGAAAAAAAGAGATGCCACAACAGATAGAACTTTAGTTACTCTAATTTCATGAATGTAAATAAAAATTTATAAATACTAATTCACATACAATATACAAATTAGATATATAAATATTCATTTCATTGTTGGGGGGAGTGAGCCACTTGTTCTTTCCAGCTGCCTGGCTAGCTTAGATCCAAAATAATCACACAGAAACTGAATTAATTAAATCACTGCTTGGCCCATTAGCTTTAGCTTCTTATTGGCTAACTCTTACATATTAATTTAACCCATTTCTATTAATCTGTGTATCGCCACATGGCAGTGGCTTACTGGGTAAACTTCCCAGCATTTGTTTCCAGTGGCTCCATGGCTTCTCTCTCACTCTGCTTCTCTTTTCCCAGCATTCAGCCTAGCTTTCTCTGCCTACCTAAGTTCTGCCTTACTATAGGTTCAAAGCAGTTTCTTTATTCATTAATGGTAATCACAGCACACAGAGGGGGACTCCCACATCATTTCATGGAACTATATAAGTATACATACATACATACACACATATAATTTCCAATGGATTTTCAAAGTTAAATGCATGCGTTGGTGCTTTTCAGTTCACATGCTCTTCGTATGCCCTCTTAGGTGTTAATTCTTAACAATTTGAATTCCCAGAACAGTAGGGACAGACTGCTGACTATCAGCACAACTCAGTAGTAGGAAGCACCTATATATAAGAGTGCAGAAAACTTCAGCTTCTTTATTCTTCTTTTCTTATGCATGGTAACCAAATAGTCTTTGTGAGATATCAAGGGATTCTTTTATTTTTTTATTATGAAAATTGGGGACAAATATGTATTATACATGGTGATGGGTTTTATAAAGTTGTTTCCATGCAAATATAT